GACTGAGTTGAGGTTCCATAAATCCTGAGTTAATTAATGCCACTAGCACTATTCTATCCAATGATTCGGGTTCGAAATGCCTTTAGCGTGCTCTTTTTTGGTTTCTGCAAATTTAACTTAAGAGTGTTCAGGTTCAATCCAAACTTTTTGCATGTTTTTCATCTCAGACACCATTGAATTTGAGCGCGAGGTAGCTGCGAATAACGTCACTACACCACGCCAGATCCAGGAGGCCGCTTTGGGCATCACTCAGGCAGCGCTGAAGGCAAACAGTGCCACATCCTCGGGTCGCAAGTTGGCGGATATTAGCGTAGCAGGGGAGGTAATCCATAAAGCCGCCAACGACCTTGTTCGACGATTGCGGTGTGGCACCCGTGCTGTTATGCTTGGTACTCGTAAAACTTCCACTACCGACCCCTCAGAATTCAATGCGGAGAAAGGCAGATGCGCTCAAGCTTGTAACCGTGCTATTGAGGGCGGTAAATCCACTTTGCAGGAGCTAGTCGTCATGGTGGAAAATATGATCAAGGTGAGTAAAATTTAAGTTCATCGTTATGGATCGTGTGCTCACTTTCAACAATGATTCCTGTGAGCCTAGTCCTTGGATGATCCGGGTTCTGGACAACCTCCGGCAATGCAAGTGACCCTAGCTATGCGGCGGCTTCGTGAGACCGTCTATGAGATTGTCGAAGGTATCAAACAAATGCCTGGGGGTAGTGGTACATCCACCGAATCTGGTATGCTTATTTTTCCACTGACTTATTGACTCGTACAACACCTTCTTATCTTTTTGTTGGTGGTTTCAGATACCCCCTCTGCTGTATTTCTTCAGCAGGAGACCACTGAAACGACTAGACCAGTTTCGCAGCATAAGCAACCACCAAAGCGACCTGCTCCAATTATCCACACCCTTCCCACGCGCTCCGAACTGGCGCTCAGCATCAAGGAAGCCTCTAATATCGCTACAGATGTCGGTGATGCTGCAGGCACTGAGGAGTTGCGAGGATTCACATCAGAGATCGAGCAGTCTATGGAGAAACTTACCAAATTGCAATTTAAAGCTGCGGTAAGTCTGCCTGGTCGCTTTCCTATTGGGTTATCTTTTCTGACTTTTCCTCTAATTATTCAAAGGAGATAACCCGATACT